ACAGAGGATGTTCACCAAACTGTGCAGCTCCCCTCAGCTCTACAGAGAGCTTCAGTGTCTTTCAGGGAATGTTTTGGTTATCACTTGAGGTGGGTCAATTGTTGAATTCAGAGAATGTGTGGTTTAATACTTCTTTAGCCACTATCACCAATATCTATGCGCAATAGCACAGTTGCTGCTCAGCGCCGCCCAATATGATTTTGATTGGTTCACACAAGTTGACTTTATCTCCTATATTATGCAAGTCGGCGATGTTACTGAATCTATACAGTAATGCTAAAACGCAGAACTGATTATTGTGGACCAAACTGAACTGGTAAGTCCCCATTAAGCGAGAAACTTACATATATGTTACTGTGTTTTAGTTACTCGGAAATATATACTTTTTGATGATTTGTTTCTCGTACGCTTTGAAAAGGTGTATTGTGATTTAGATGAAGCTTTCCTCGTTCGCTTCTCTCTTCCTGTCCTCACATTTCTCTAGCTCTCATGTGCCCCTCTCTCTTCTTTTTCACTTCGCCCCCCCCCCCCCCGCCCCCTCCACTTCTGACCCAAGTAAAAAGCTGCCTCACAATGAAGTGTGTTTCTTTCACATGTTAATGCTGTTACTCACGACCCAGCGCACAGCACAAGGCAAGAAACAAAGCAGTCCAGAAAAACAAGATTGTGCGCACACACACACACAACACATGCACACAACACACACACACACACACACACACACACACACACACACACACACACACACACACACACACACACACACACACACTTACAGGGAATCCAAATAAAATGCACTGAGAAAGAAAATATGAAATTAAAAAAGATTACAAACGGTAGGGAAATGAAAGGGTGACTCCCCTTCATTGCTATTGCAGACAGGTTTTTCATCATTCATGACCATACAAGTAGTCTTGTATGAAAAAAAAAACCTATTACACTGTCGAACAGGGTGTATGTGCCCTGGAATTGATTGTAAAGATTTGACAGGAAAAGAAAACAATCTCCAAGATGAAAAGACATGTGCATCAATTCATATTCATGCTGCTCTGACAAACATCAGCATAACGTGAACCAAAAAGCAGGGCCGTTCTCTTTCAATGTCATTATCTATTTCCCCTAGTTTTGTATTCAACTCATTATTACAAGTCGTTTCTCCGAGATACAGATAAAGTATTTATTTTTGCTATTGGTAAAATATGTATGATGACTAAGCTTTATCGTCTCAGTGCACATTAACCTGACATCCATATACATGTAGCCAGCCCTGCAGTCACTGGCCTGTGTTATGGTTTGCTATGTTTTTTATAAAGAGGTATGCAAAGGCATGATTCATAAAAGTGCACAGACTTGATGTGCACCCTTATATCACTGGATCTGCAACTCATACATACGAGTGTGTAGGGCTACAGCTACCCATGCTAAACAATGTCCCTCAAATCATTAACACTGACAAATCAGTTACTAGTACAAGTAGTTGAATCATAAATCAAATGTTCAGTCATTTTATTGAATGTTCAAGCTATTTGGTCAATTAATGGTTTACAAAATGTCTTATTAGAATGTGTTTTTGCTGTTTTGCCTGCCTCAGACAGTGTTATTAGCTTCATAACGCTATAATTATCACCAGCACTCCCACTGGGGTGCAGGTTAATACGTTTAGAAGCATGCATTGAGCCCACTGATGACCTTGTGTCTGATCATTCCTCCATTATAAGCTTATCTGTCCCTCGGGGGGCCCTTTACGGACTGTCTGTGTCCACTCTTTGTTTCTGGTGGAGCACAGCTTAGCGCAGCGGGGGCTTCATGCTGACTTAGCTGGTGCCATCCCACCATATGGAGGGAGGCAGATCAAGGCTGTCTCTCAGGACATGTTCACAGACAATTCCTTCAATTCATGTGATGTTCACACTGACATTCTGTTTTAGGATGTGTCTGTGTGATGTCTAAAGGTAAGCAGAGGGCCACTCCATCTATGGGGTATCCAACCTAAACCTGGTGACAGTGACGCGTTTTGATATTACAATTTTATTTCACCAATTTGTTTGTTTTTGAAGATTATTTTTGGGATATATTGAGTGACACGACTGCGCCTTTATTAGCGTTTTGTTATCTATTATTCATGTAGAATATTTTCTGAGTAACTGCTATGGGGGGAAATAAACACATCTTAGATCTGATTGGCTGATTCAAACTGTTGGTCACTAAGTACCCTTAAGATGACTTAAATACCATGATGCTAACACCCCCTATACCAGTTATACCAGTTATACCAGTTATAATTTGAATTATTAGTATTGAGTTTTTTTATTTAAAATGTATTCTTTTACAGGGCATGATACCACCTTTCACAAATGCTTATCGACACAGTCTTTCTGCATATCTTTCTGTAATATCTTTCACCATTGCAAAAGAAAATGTGCTCACACACCTGAGTACGACCAGTCGATATCTTCGGGGAGTTTCCTCGGGCCTCGGACCAGCGGCTCTGCTGTCACCACTACAGGACAAAGAAGGATAAGGTTATTAGTCGTTTTGGAATTTCCGAAAACACACAGAAATACATTGATGGTTAGGTGGAACCACAAATGGCTGCTGGGAATTGGCTTTATGAGAAGTGACAGGCTTTAACTGTCATTTCATCACTACCCAGCCTGTCTGCATGAAGAGTTACAGAGTTCACCCTACACGTATTCTTTGGTTTCACGTACAAATCTGTATAATATGGAGCAACATTTTATTGTTTCGCATTTAAAATATAAACAGCAACATTTGACAACAGACTGCTGCACAAACGGTGACTTTATTCCCTCCACAGCCACAGCACAGAGCACAGAAGATGTTCAGAGAAAATGATTTGTGTGCAGCACAGGCTTCTGAGAGGCAGCCAAAACAGAACACTCGGTCTCGCTATTAGAGACACACACACACACACACACACACACACAGTACTTCACGGTAGTCATTATCGCTCAGGGACAGTCGAGGACACAATGATGTCTGAAGTCACAGTTCAGTGTGTGTATCGTCCTGATTCTCGACTACAGCTGCACATTCACTCACAGCTTATTCCTCTTCTATTGCTCCATGACATAATGTATTAACTGCATCACACACACACACACACACACACACAACACACACACACACACACACACACACACACACACACACACACACACACACACACACACACACACACACACACACACACACACACACACACACACACACACACACACACACACACACACACACACACACACACACACACACACACACCCCCCCCCCCCATCTCTTCCTAAGCCTCTCTCTACTCCCCGACAGTAATAAGTCTGCTCAGTTTGTCATGGTCTAAGTATGAACTGATAAGAGAATATATTGTATCCGTGGAGAAACATACACATGGGTTACTTAAGTCAACTTCAATTATGAAGTGGTTGCACATTAACACACTGACCCTGCCAAGATTTAATTCCCATTATTGCAACACATGCTTTGCAGCGGGAAACGAAGGCTGTGCATGTGACGGGTATTAACGGTGATAATGTAAAGCACTTAAATCACAACCAGATGGCATATTTCGTGTGATCCTCAGCGGGGTGAAAAGGGTACCGACACAGGGCACAACATATATAATCTGACCTTCTATAGAGAAGAGGAGGAAGGCTTCCATGTAAATACAGATATATGAAAGCTCAGCACAACATAAACATTACTTTTTCCTCATACATATTTATCTTTCATCAACACCTATCCTCCTACAGTAGAAGATGAACACCCTGTCACATTTAGGTCATGACCACCATTCCACCACATTAGATCAATCCAATAGTCAAAGAAGAACTCAGTATAATCCCTTTGTTTACCTTCTACAGCTCCCAGATAAACTATTTCATACAGTTTGATCAGAATATGTGCTGCTGGACTCGTGAAATGCAGTGCATCCACTCTGAAAACAAAACCCTTCTGTCAAATCTTCTGCATCAATGAATATTCAACTAACCCTGGCACAGCTGCAGCCACGGGGGATTATTTCATGTTGAGCTTCACACTTGTTTAACTCACTTTAGTTCCCATTTTTCCAAAAGAGATACTAAAATGAATACTGTATGTTCTTTTCTCTGCACATAGCATGCCTATAGGTAGCATATTGGATCATATTATTCATTATAAATGCTTTATCCTGCATGCTAGGTCTAGTGTTTTCCTTGTTGCACATGATTTATTACATAATAGTGAGCATATTACTCCAAATTAAGTGTTTCCAACATACATTAAGCATTTTAATATAATGTACATTTATGTACGTAAAGCACCTGTGACCAGGAGCATAAATAAAATGTGTTTTTACACATGTTAATAACTGTATAAGCATTCATAGTGAATACGTTATGACATCATTTTCAGTCAAAAGCAGAGAGACAGATAAAGACAGACAGGGAGCAGAGAGACAGGAGCAGAGAGACAGATAAAAGACAGAGAGGGAGCAGAGAGACAGGAGCAGAGACAGGAGCAGACAGACAGGAGCAGACAGACAGGAGCAGAGACAGGAGCAGAGACAGGAGCAGAGAGACTGATAAAAGACAGACAGGGAGCAGAGAGACAGGAGCAGAGAGACAGATAAAAGACAGAGAGGGAGCAGAGAGACAGGAGCAGAGACAGGAGCAGACAGACAGGAGCAGACAGACAGGGAGCAGAGAGACAGGAGCAGAGACAGGAGCAGAGAGACAGGAGCAGACAGACAGGAGCAGACAGACAGGAGCAGAGACAGGAGCAGAGACAGGAGCAGAGAGACAGGAGCAGAGAGACAGGAGCAGAGACAGGAGCAGAGACAGGAGCAGAGACAGGAGCAGAGACAGGAGCAGACAGACAGGAGCAGACAGACAGGAGCAGAGACAGGAGCAGAGACAGGAGCAGAGAGACAGGAGCAGAGAGACAGGAGCAGAGACAGGAGCAGAGACAGGAGCAGAGACAGGAGCAGAGAGACAGGAGCAGAGAGACAGGAGCAGAGACAGGAGCAGAGACAGGAGCAGAGACAGGAGCAGAGAGACAGGAGCAGAGAGACAGGAGCAGAGACAGGAGCAGAGACAGGAGCAGAGACAGGAGCAGACAGACAGGAGCAGAGACAGGAGCAGAGAGACAGGAGCAGAGACAGGAGCAGAGACAGGAGCAGAGACAGACAGAGAGACAGGAGCAGAGACAGGAGCAGAGAGACAGGAGCAGAGAGACAGGAGCAGAGAGACAGGAGCAGAGACAGGAGCAGACAGACAGGAGCAGACAGACAGGAGCAGAGACAGGAGCAGAGAGACAGGAGCAGAGAGACAGGAGCAGACAGACAGGAGCAGAGACAGGAGCAGAGACAGGAGCAGAGAGACAGGAGCAGAGACAGGAGCAGAGACAGGAGCAGAGACAGGAGCAGAGAGACAGGAGCAGACAGACAGGAGCAGAGAGACAGGAGCAGAGACACTGGTGCTCAGCTTCAGGAGCAGGGAGACAGGAGTAGGGAGACAGATAAAGACAGGCAGTAGCAGAGAGACAGGAGCAGAGACACTGGTGCTCAGCTTCAGGAGCACAGGCCATGCAGCTCACAGCTGCACTGGATCTGCTTCATGGGATTACCCAGGAGGCTTCAGACGCTAAAGGTTCAGGTGACTGCAGTGCCAACAGCACATTTATATGGATGTTTTATTCATACTGCGAAAGGTCAACAGACATGCAGCTTTCCAACAATGAACAGCTTCATCGGCACACCGTCATACGCCTGTCTCCAACGCTGGAATCAAACGCAGAGGAAACTGATGGAGCAGAGACACGGATTATAAAACTGTAACTTCAGCCCAATCTGTGCTATGTCCAATGTGTTGGCATGAGTGAGCAGCTGTCAGGGTGAGTCAGAATAACGAAGCCAAGCGAGGATATGTGTCAGCCAGACACCTGATACTCTGAACAAGCTTCAATCACACTGCGCTCATACACGTGTAATATGTCATGTTGAGGCAAAGCATCATAAACTCTCACCTGTCAATCAGGTGGATGGCCAAATCCCAATCACTGCAAAGCACTCCGTCATACATTTGGATTCCTCACACTGCAATTTGATTAAAAACCCATATTTTGTTCAGCATTCAGTATTTACCTCTCTGTATATAGATATATAATCTTTTGTATCATTAGTGGTGGAATCCCCCATGCCAGCACTAATTGCCGACCTTATCAGCCTGATTGTTCACTTTATCAGCGCTATAATCCGTTATTGCTCATGTAAACAAACATGTCCCACATCGAATTATGTGATACACAATGACATGGTCTAAATTGATAATAACATGCGGATAATACTTTGTGTTTGTGTGCATGTATGTAATTAAAGTAAGTGTGTACTGGGAAATATTAGTTTCTTCTCAATGATTTTATTTCAAATGTGGACTTCGGAAGGTCTTAAAGGGGACCTATCATGCAAAATGCACTTTTGTACGTCTTTTATACATGAATATGTGTCCCCGGTGTTCCAGGGAACTCACCAAGTGTCAGAAAACACAACCCTCTCTATTTTCCTCCATACCCAAATCTCTAAAAAAAGGGGCTGCAACGGATCTGATAAAAACTGATCCAGATTTGAACACTGTCCTGACGTCAGGACGGTGGCGCTACGGCTATTGGGCCAACTCCACCAATCAGGAGGAGAGAGCCACGGCCATTGCCGTTCGAAAAGCGCTGGAGACGCTGTAGTACATATGCCAGGCCTGTAGGTGGTGCTGTTCTCACAGAATCAGCCCTTGCAAAAACAGAGCTAAACATTTTCAAATTGAGCAAAATGAGGCATGGCTAAAATGCATGATCTGTTTGGTATTTTGGAGGAAAAAAAAGTATAAATATGCCTTATATACTGTAGGTATGGTCCTACACTATATTATTCAAATATAGCATGATAGGTCCACTTTAAGTAAGACAATACTTTAAATTAGGGATGTCCCGATCCGATCACGTGATTTTCACGTGATCGGGGATCGGGAGAAAAAAATCGGGGATCGGATTCTTTTTTTTTTTTTTTTTTTTTTTTTTTATAAAATATTTTTATACATTTTATTTAATGTTACAAAACAAAAATGACCATGTTCACGTCTTAAAGTCATCCTGAGGCCTTAGTTTTGGGTTAAAATTACACAACATCATGTATGTGTTGCTTCTTTTGGGCTTGTTTTCATAGACCTGGTTGCTTATTTCTCTCAAATCTGGCAACAGAGTGGGCGCAGTGTAGCAGTAAGCTAACAAGAGGCTACGTTCAGCTGGTGACTCGGGAGTCGGGACAGAGAAAATGTCAGGAGTTTGGAAGTATTATAAAATTGAAAGCGAAGGCAGTGTAACAGCCAGATGCAATGTTTGCAAGGCGGAGGTTCCGCGTGGTGGAAAGAACAGAGCTACGTTCAACATGACCAATCTAATACAAACACCACCAACAACAACACGACGAGTACACAGCGGCCACTCAGGTAATGG